CAGAAAAAACATGTTTACAGCCTGGTTCAAAAAATGATTTTGGTCTATATAGCTAATTTTGCCCTTCATGACAACTGTGAGGGGGGTGAATTTGTTTATAACTCATCCGTGTAAATTATATTAAGCCTTAAAGCTCTGCATAATTAAGGGCGTGGCCACTTGAGTGACAGGTGGATTGCCGCTGCTGTCACCACCGTTATTTACCCAATAGTATTTCAACACCCCGGGTTGCCAGTTAGCGGCAAATGCAGTGAATAGCAGCTATGGAAGCCAGTGAATGTACTGGTCAGAGATCATAGATTCTACCTGACCTAAAAAGCATCGCCATCCATTTAAAAGCTGTATAAAAGGTGGATAAATCAACTCAATGACTTCTAGTGTAAGTCACGTAAGTCCTGTTGCCTTTCCTCGATCTGGCAACCCAGGTGAGAGTGAGTCTGAGGAGGAGCAGGAGAAAGGATTCTCTTCAGTATTATGCATTGGGACTGCAGTACCCATTTCAACCACTAGCTGTCAGTATTACATGCTGCACCTTTAGTCATTGTTTAATTAAAACAGTAGTGATGCCCAGAAATGAAAATAATGAACTCAAAAGTAACTTTGCAACTACATGCCAACTAGCAGTCATTAGAGTATTAGTAGAGTGTCTGCTTAATATCTGCTAACACTTTATTTGGATGGGTCCACAACATACAACATACTGACTGTCAACTTATTCTACTAACCCTAAACCTAACCTAACAGTCTACTCTGAGAGTTATTAGTACACATGTAGTTGCAAATTAATGAGAATTAGTTGACATGTAGTTGCAAAGTTACTTATAGTTAGTATTATGTCCAAAGTGGACAATCAAAATAAAGTGTAACCAGGTGTGTGTGTGTGTGTGTGAGTGAGTGTGTGTGTGTGTGTGTGCAGTATATAGGCCAAACACTGTGAGTGAACGAGTGTTGACGTGCTGCACTCCGGGCGAGTTACCCACGGCAGATGGGTTATATGCAATTAAACCGCGGTAAAAATAGCTGAATGCTGTATGAAGGAGCAGAAGAGCAGATACTGAGCATGATTACAACACTGATGATGATGATGATGATGATGATGAAAGAGACAGGAAATGATCTTCAGTAAATCACACGTGTCCTGATCATGTGATGTCACTGATGGGAGCTGCTGCAGGGGCTGATGGGATTATTTACCCATAAACCCCCACCGCATGCCAAGGTTAAAATGAAGTCGTGTTCTTCTGCTGTAACAGATGTTAGCTTGAGTTTTTGCAATATTACAAGTCCGTCAGCTCTCCTATGAAATATTATAAATTTTTCCCCCTGAACTCCATTTGTAATGTTAGTCATCTAAATGCGTTTTTTCCCAACTTTATTATTTTTTTCTTTTTAATTTTTTATTCTTCTCTTTTTTTTTAATCTCATTTATTCATTAGTTGTGGTTGGTGGGTGGGGTCCTCTGAAGTGTGCAGATGCCGTCTTAATGAGCGCTTACAGGCGTGTTCTGTGTGTGATGAAGATGAAGATGAGGAAGATCTGAAGCACGTTCATGTGTGTGTTGGGCGTCTGTGAGAGCTGCACACGGCACAGTCACAGATCAGATCTCAAGCTGTATTTGTTCAGTTCTGCAATGCGGAAAACGTGGACGGAATTGTGGAATCCAGTCATAAAAATGGAATTTACTGTATAACACGGAATGTCACAGAGTTTGCTAAATTTTGGATGGGTAAGTCAAAAGTAGGTCAGTACAGTTAAATCAAAACATGATATGGACTAGTTTCTGTGAATATTAAGCTGCAAATATACAATTTAAATATGAATCCTGTGTGTTCTGCGTGCCTCTGTATGAATGAATGAATGTTTCTGTTTGAATGTTTCGTTGCACGCATGTGGCGTGGTGTTTTCAGCGTCTGCCGCCTCAGTATATGAGTACATGAACATATAAACATAATGCTCTGAGAGTCATTTCATGAGCATTTTACCATTTATTTTGAGTAAAACTATTGTCATATCATATATCAGCAAAAACCTAAAGGTCTTCACAGCAACCCGTGAATAAAATTCAGTTTAACTTGAAGAAATTGTGACAGAAATATATTACTTAATGTAATGATAGTACACATGGGTGTGTGTGTGTGGTGCGCGTGTGCGTGCGCGTGTGTGTGTGTGCGAGTGTGTGTGCGTGTGAGTGTGTGAGTGTGTGTGTGTTTGTGTGTGAGTGTGAGTGTGAGTGTGTGTGTGTGTGTGTGTGAGTGTGAGTGTGTGTGTGTGTGTTAGGGCTGCAACTAATGATTATTTTGATAATCGATTAGTTGGCTGATTATTTTTTTGATTAATCGGATAAAAAGCCTTTATTTTTTTATTGACTAAATACGCTATTCCACATGCTGCCCAATCCTTCAGACAGACGTGCCAACTGAATGCTATAAACATACTGTATGTTGAATTATTCACTGAATATATCTATAGCTATGCTATACATTATGTGCAAAAAGAGTTATAAAGCACAGTTTAAATAGAGAGTTTAAATAGACAAATGGACAAAGGACAGTTTAAATCCTTACACTAAAAATGGAGATAAAAATGAAGATAATAAAGAAAAACTCAAACTCAGTGCTAACAGATGAGAGGAATGTTCTGCATGAACACACATTCACTCTGAATACATTAACCTGTTACTGTCATTTCTTTATTCTGTAAATATAAGGAATGTCTTAAATGTGACCCTGGACCACAAAACCAGTCATAAAGGTCAACTTTTTACGCATCTATTAAAGTGCCTGACAGGACGAGCCATGTTAAACATTATGCTAATGCATTAGCTTGACGTTTAAAAATAAAGCATTCGCATGTTTTGGGCAGCTTGGATCACGCACCTTTCCTGAAGCAGCTCACTCTGTTTCCTCCACTATTAGATTCATTTAGATCCATTTCGTCCATAGAAAATAATTATTCAGTGTGTAATTTGACACGGTGGGCAGACGCGAGTAATCGATAATGACATTCGTTGTCGATGATTTTCATTATTGATTTTATTGATTAGTTGTTGCAGGGTGTGTATCAGTGTCCAAATGAAACAGAAGCTCATTGTCGATGCTTTAGTAGATGTTTCTCTCTGCTGCAGTGCATCATGGGTAATCTCCCATACCGTCTCACTGCACACACAGTTAAGCGGGTCCAGATCTGACGCTTCAGAGGCGTAACGGTTCGAGACAAACATGAGGGAAACTCACGCTGGTTATTTATAGATTCAGAGCTGTAAGTGCTACTGAAAGGCCTTCTGGGATATCTGAGGAGTTTCCATTAGACAAAAACATCATCCGCTGCTCCAGAAATATCCCAGCAGTCCACACGCACTATAGTGTGTGTGTGTAAAGGTGTGTGTGTGTGTAAAGGTGTGTGTGTGTGTAAAGGTGTGTGTGTGAGAGAGAGAGAGAGAGAGACTATTGTACTCCTGAATCAGTATAAATAAAGAACAGTCAGACACACAGATCAATGACATAAAGCTGCTGGAACATGAAGAACAAACATAATTAAAAAGATATTTGTCCAAACTGTGTGAGATTATTTTGATGTAACTATGGTCTGTTTTCTGGAATCAGTTTGATGGCGGTCGTGTCTCTGTGGTTTCTCAGGATGTTTGGGAAGAAGAAAAAGCGTCTGGAGATCTCGGCTCCGTCTAACTTCGAGCACCGCGTCCACACCGGCTTCGACCCGCAGCAGCAGAAGTTCACCGGCCTGCCGCAGCAATGGCAGAGTCTGCTGGCCGACACGGCCAACCGGCCCAAGCCCATGGTGGACCCCTCCTACATCACGCCCATGAAGGTACTTCCTGTTCCTGCGGCTCACTTCCTGTGCCGGCAGCTCTCGTCCTCCCTCACTGGTTCGTTTCTTTAGTTTAATCAGTGACGATTATCAGAGTACATGGGCCCTGCTCCAAAACCCCAAATATAAATCATAAAGCAGCGCACATGCTTCATGGAGGAACCAATCCCAGAATGCACTGCAGCAAGCTCAGTGCAAACAAAAAGGATTTAAGATGACAGATGAAATCAGAAAAACACAGGTGAGTTTAATGCCTATAACAATAACGCTAACTTTATTGAAATCAAGTTTAGTTTCTTGTGTAGAGTTGCTGTTTATGTTGAGTGTCTGAATTCAAACCGGGGCTGCAAGGGAAACATTCAGAGAAAAACTGTAAAAACATATCAAAATTAATAAATATGTATAAATGTGATTAAAATAAATAAAACAAAAACATTAAAATGTAATTAAAATTAATACAGATAAATGTGATTAAACTAAATAAAATAATTTATTAATCAAAGGGAGATTTTAAATAAATAAAACGTGATTCAAATAAATAAAAAAAATGAGATTTAAAATAAATTAATAAAAATGTGATTCAAATAAATAGCTAAATAAAATGACATTTAAAATAAATAAAAATGTGATTAAATAAATGAGATGATACAATGAAAATAATAATACAATGAAAATAAAAAATGAATAAAAATTTGATTTTAAACAAACAAAATAAAAAATAAACATTAAATTAAATAAAATTAATAAGATTAAAATAAATAAATAATGAGGTTTAGAATAAAAAAGTGATTAAAATAAATAAACAAACATATTTAAATTAATAAGCAAATCATTAGATTTAAATAAATAAAATTGTGATTAATTAAAAGTTTAATATAAAGTAAATAAAAGTTGATTACGATAAATAAATGGAAATAACTAAATAAATAATACATCTAACAATGCAGTAGTATAATGAGTAGGAAAAAATTTAATTTCTTCATAGAAACTCTTTTTTTCTTTTTTCTAAATAATATTTTGACGCATATCAGTTTTTCACAGTATAAAAGCTATAGCTGTAAATTGTAGGATGTTTGGGGTTCTGTGGCGTGTAAATGATTGAACCAGCCGGAGACCAGAGCTGCTGTACTGACCCGCTGAACAGAGCCGTGTTACTGCTGCTTCACCAGCTTAACCAGCACTAACCACGGCTCTTCTGTGATGTGTTGATGTGTGTGTGTTTGGGTTAAAGCCGCTCTGTCTCCTCTCTCCTCGTCTCCTGTCTGCGTCCAGTGTCTCTGCAGACCATCATCAGAGTCTTAGACAATAACACATCCATTCCTGTAGCTCGTCTGATGACGCTGGCGACGCTGCAGTCACGGGTTTGAGTCCCTGAACACACGTGTCAATATTACGCTGGTCTCAGCTCTATGGTTCTAATTCAGACATAATTCACCCAGAAGTCAAGCGTCTGTCATCATTCGCTCACCATCATGTCTTCGTGTGCTGAACTGAAGGAGAATCTAAAGATCACCATGACTGTCAAACTCTGACAAGAACAAAATAAACGTTAACGCTCCGTATAAGTATCGTGGAGGTCGTTCATAAGGTCTGAGTTCTTTCTATACTTTCATGGTGTGTTAATGGTGTTTTGTCTGCTTTGGAGCTCGGCAGTCGTGATCTCGATGAGCTGTTGATGTGAAGATTCATCAGATTTTCTCATGTGACTTTAATTCAGTTCAGCATGTGACTCTGGAGCAACACGAAGAGTAAATAATGAAGCTGAAGATACCTTTTGTTTTTTCCAAAATTCCATTTTATTTTTTAACCAAGTTCTGTTTTATTTTTTCCCAAATTGTTTTATTTTTAACCTGATACTATTTTATCTTTATTTTTTATTTTTTTCAAATTCTATTTTACTTTTTTAACAAATTCTGTTTTATTTTCCCCAAATTCCATTTTATTTTTTAACCAAGTTCTGTTTTATTTATTCCCAAATTGTTTTATTTTTAACCTAATACCATTTTATCTTTTTCTTAACCCAAATTCTATTTTACTTTTTTATCAAATTCTGTTTTATTTTTTCCTCAAATTCCATTTAAGTTTTTAAGCAAGTTCTGTTTTATTTTTTTCCAAATGGTTTTATTTTTAACCTAATACAGTTTTATTGAATTTTTTTAACCAAATTCAATTTATTTATTTTTTTTACAAATTCTTTTATTTTTCCCCCCAAATTCCATTTTATTTTTAACCAAGTTCTGTTTTATTTGTTCCCAAATTGTTTTATTTTTAACCTAATACAATTATATATTTTTATTATTATTATTTATTTATTTATTTTTAACAAAATTCTATTTTATTTTTTGTAACAAATTCTGTTTTATTTCCCCCAAATTCCATTTTATTTTTAGTTAAATTCTATTTCATTTTTCCCAAATTCCATTTTATTTTTTAAACTAAATTCTGTTTTATTGTTTCCCAAAATACCATCCATCCATCAATTCATTCATTCATTAATTTATTAAAATTATTATTATTTTATTTTAATTTTAGTTTTTAGTTTTTACCAAATTCCAAATTCCATTTTTTTCCATTTTAATTTTTCTGGATTCCATTTTTTCCTATTTTAATTTTTCTCGATTCTGAATTTTTATAATGAAAAAGCATGGTTAATTCATTGAAATCTTGAACATATACAATTTAACAACAGTTTAACAAGTAAAAAAAAATAACAACAAAAATGACATTTTCAGTGTAATTCCATTTCCATTTCAAATGTGATTAGTGTGGTGAAGGCACTGGACGCAGGAGGCCTCGGCGCAGCAGGAGATATCTCTGAAGAGGGATACACGGATATTAATTCTCTTGCTCTCTTCACAGATATCTCCCAAGAAAGTCCGGTTGGCTGAATCGCCGTTGCGAAAAGTATGCCCTCTATCCTTGCTTCTCTCTCTCTCTCGCCTCGTTTCTTTTCTCCTTCTCCACTTTTGGTCTTTATTTCCGCTCTTCATTGGCCACATGCACTTCTGCTCATGAGTGTATGACATACACTACCAGTCAAAGGTTTTTGAACAGTAAGACTTTTAATGTTTTTTAAAGAATTCTCGTCTGCTCACCAAGCCATTTATTTGATCCAAAATACAGCCAAAGCAGGAAAACTTTGAAATATTTTTACTATTTAAAACAGCTGTTTTCTATTTGAATATATTTTAAAATGTAATTTATTCCTGTGATTTCAAAGCTGAATTTCTAGCATCATTACCCCAGTCACATGATCCCTCAGAAATCATTCTAATATTCTGATTTGCTGCGGTGTTTGGGGCCGAATGCATGAGAGACGCTGTAGATGCAGAAGTGCATGATCGCAGGATAGACAGACGAGTGTGGAGCCGATCCGATTCATAAAGCCTTTATGAATGCTGCGTGACGTCATACGGCTCGATCGGAGTCATTTCCATCTGCTGGCATGAATCATAACATCTGTTCTGAAGTGTTTATGCTGCATGTGTTAATATAACATACATGTGACACCAGACTGATGAAGACCTGAGAAGACATCTTCTAATGCTCCTGGAATAAGCTTATTTAATGCCATTTCTTATTTTGGTGAAATATGAGCAGGATGTGTTCCTGTCATTAGATTCAGATACAATACTTGATTTTTTTATTCTGATATTGTCAGCATGCAAGACGATCTAACTGCATTGAAAACAGTTCATTTGAAGTTAAATTACACCAGAAGTGTTTTAAGTCCAGACACGACAGGCAAAAAACATTTTCATGCTCAGTTTAGAGATTTTTGTCTGTTGTCTCTTCTTTCAGTCTAGTGGAAACTAAATATCCCAAATCTACATTTAAGTGTTTATTTCATTGCACTTTATCTATTTGTGTCTGTAGATTTCAATCCTTATAGAGTTTTTGCTCTTACAAACACCAAACTTTATTCCTCTCTATATTCCAAAGGGTTGTTCATATTTCATTCACACTGATTTATACAACTTTTCACTCCTAAAACATGGTGAAAATATGTTTGTTTTTTGTCTGTTGACAGTGTTTTCTGATTTATGGAGTGATAAAAAGAGAAATCCCCTCCGGAATAACCTTTAACTCTGATGTGACAACAAAATCAAAGAAGAATTATGAACCAATGTTCAGCTTTCAGTTCTTAACTAGGGATGTCTCGAGCCGATCTCAAGGATCGGTATTGGGACCGATCAAGCATTTTTTTAGCTGATCGTATCGGCTCTCTCTTTAGCCGATCCTTGTTTTATGTCAGCTGTCACGCCGGTGTCATGCAGTAGGAGGCAGTATGCACCTTTAAGTTAAATGTTTTTTCAGTTTTTTTCACGTCACACAATTTCTGAAAGCTGACACTCAAACAGCAGAAGCATGCTCCAAATCTGCAAAACCATACACTGATTCTCAGCCTTTCAAATTCTTTTAATTTGGTGTTTGTTTTTAACAAGTCTCCGCCAGCTCATGGTTGTGGTTGCCAGATTTCAGTTTAATCCCCCAATCGGACTCTCTGCTTGCGGTCCAGTGTGGCTTGTGTTAGTTTGCTGATGCTCTCTGGTTATCAGTGTCAGGTGGACCAGTTCACTGCGTGAGTCACTGGGGTTTAGTCGGTGTATTTTTAGAAACGCTTGCGTTGGCTTATTGGCAGGCCGTGTGTGTGTCAGTAACCATCGCCCCGTGCTTTACAAGACTCAACAGCTGGACGTTCTGCATGTGTTCGGCTGAACGGGCGTCTCGCGTGAAATCAGTTTCTTCTGCTTGTCTGATGGACCTTCCATGTTGTGTGCGCCGCTGTCAGACCGTGGTGTGCTGAAGAGCATGCGGTTGTTGCAGAGCTCAAGTTAATGCAGATGTCACGTCTCAGAACAGTTCTGTGCCTGGAGTGTCATTGGAGTTGGAGCCGGTCGCATCAAGTGAAGGGAGAGTCTGCTGCAGGTCCATGCGTTATGAGCGCAGTTATTGCGCGGCAGTGAGCGAGCGTTTTCAATTCATTCCTATGGAAGTTGAGCATAAACGCTCACGCGGTTCATTGTGGGATTGAAAGCGGCGCAGAGAAAGGGTTGAGAGCGTTAAAAAGGTTGGGCATTCCTCGACTTTATGCAAATATCGAGTGAAAAACAGCGGGCGACAACCAATCGCTGTGAACAGCAGGCAAGGCAAGATTTTGACGCATGTTTCCGAGTGGATTACGGAGCTGAAATCACTTGTCGTTGACAAAGTCATTTGTGACCCTGGAGCACAAAACCAGTCATAAGGGTCAGTTTTGTGAAATTGAGACTTATGGATCATCTGAAAGCTGAATAAATAATCTTTCCATTGATGTATGGTTTGTTAGGATAGGACAATATTTGGCTGAGATACAACTATTTGAAAATCTGGAATCTGAGCGTGCAAAAAAATCTAAATATTGAGAAAATCATCTTTAAAGTTGTCCAAATGAAGTTCTTAGCAATGCATATTACTAATCAAACATTAAGTTTTGATATATTTACGGTAGGAAATTTACAAAATATGTTCATGGAACATGATCTTTACTTAATATCCTAATGATTTTTGGCATAAAAGAAAAATGTATAATTTTGACCCATACAATGTATTGTTGGCTATTGCTACAAATATACCCCAGCGACTTAACACTGCTTTTGTGCTGCAGGGACACATATGTTTTATTTAGGGCTGTCTCTATAGGCTACGTTTCATCATTTTGAATTTTAGGTTGTACTTAGATATTGGCAATAGTGTTTAGCAAACTGGGTGTAAACGTTGTTTTCAGATTGGTGCTCCACACGCTCAAAGCAGTGTTGCTGTAGCGAGCGCAGATTAGAGGCTGTAGAAACGCACCGTTAGATCCAGATGATCAGGCCTCGGGACGGGACGAGAGCGGCGGACAGACAGACGGAGCTTCCCAGCCGAAAACACTCACAGGTGCGGCGCAGCTCATCCATCACTGCTTTCAATCAGGTCCTTCACTCAGAACCTCCACGGCTCGTTCCTGCTCAAGCCTGTTTATCATTCATGTGCTTGTGTTCTACATCCACGAGGCTTTATTGTAAAAGTGAATATCACACTGCAGAAAATGATTCTCTTACTGAGTATTTTGTCTTGTTTTCTAGTATAAATATCTAAACATTCTTGAATCAAGATACATTTACTGTACAAGTGAAATGACTCAAGATATTAAGTCTTGTTTTCTAAAAAAAAAAAAAAAATTTTGTTTGAAAATGTAGCAACATTTTTTGCTTAAAACAAGCAAAAATGTATCTGCCAGTGGGGTAAGAAACATAATCTTAATTCAAAGCTAAACAAGATTATTTTTCTTACCCCACTGGCAGATACATTTTTGCTTGTTTTAAGAAAAAACTAACAACATTTTGATATTTTTTTTTTACGGAAAAAAAAACAAGACAATATCTTGTCATTTTACTTGTACAGTAAATGCATCTTGATTCAAGAATGTTTAGATATTTATGCTAGAAAACAAGACAGAAATACTAAGTAAGAGAATCATTTTTTTTGCAATGTAGATTGCCAGAAATCTGCTCTAGTCGAGATCAGACACACTTCAGCTTCATTATATCAGGGTTTCTGTGGGTCTTAACAAGTCTTACTCACCCTTCCACAAATTAAGGCCTTAACTAAAGGTATTAAATTGGAGCATAAAGTCTTTAATTCATAAAGTCACTGCATTAAATGTTGCAGGAACCACAAAAAGTGAATCTCTTCCTCAGTATTTTTGTCTTGTTTTCTAAACATCCTTAAATCAAGACACATTTATTGGAGATGCAAAATGAAGATAATTTCTGAGAAATTAAACAAAATGAAGTGTTTATGATTAAAACGAGAACAAATATCTGCCGATTTTGAATGAATTTGATTCCACTGGCAGATATTTGTTCTTGTTTTAATCAAACTCACTTCATTTTGATCAGTTTCTCAGAAAGCAAGACTTATCTCATGTCATTTTGTTTCTCCAGTAAATGTATCTTGATTTAAGAATCTTTATACATTTGCACTTTTTTATTGATTATTTGTAAAATGAATTGAAATGTAATGGAGATCTGTAGGAAGTTGTTTTTCAAACTTGAAGCGTCGGATTAGGTTTAGTTTATTCCTACAATTTTCTGTCTTAAAACGTTTTAAATTTACTTGCAGAAACCCTGCATTTATAATTGATTACACTGCAAAAAATGATTCACTTACTTGGTATTGTTGTCTTGTTTTCTAGTATAAATATCAAAACATTATTGAATCATGATGATTTTACTGTAAGGGGTTGCAATCAATTTATTTGAGCTACATTTAAATAAACAAATTTAGTTGGCTAACTTTCAACACGTAGCTAAAATAAATTGTTTGCAACCACTTGCCTTAAAAAAATTTGTATCATTTTTTTCAGTGTACAAGTAAAATGACTTAAGATATTATGTCTTGTTTTCTGTAAAAAAAAAAAAAAAAATCAAAATTTTGTTAGTTTTTGCTTAAAACAAACAAAAATATCTGCCAATGAGGCAAGAAAAATAATCTTGTAGACCCTTTGAATTAAGATTCTTTTTCTTACTTCATTGGCAGATATTTTTGTTTGTTTTAAGCAAAAACTAACAAAATTTTGATAATTTTTTTCAAAAACAAGACTTAAAATCTTTAATAATTTCACTTGTACAGTAAATGCATCTTGATTCAAGAATGTTTAGATATTTATACTAGAACACAAGAATAATTTTTTGCAGTGTATTTACAAAATGAAATGTAAATGAACAGTTGAAAGTCATCGTGATATTTTTAACCATGTTTTGAAATGTTGATATTATCAAACTGATTTGTGTCATTTGATCAAACTGGACGAATGAAAGATTACTGTACTGACGTCTCCAGCCTCGTGCGTTCAGTTTTCTGTGTTATTGTCTCTACTCAGTGTTGATTCTGATGTTATTTGACGTTCAGTGAGAGGATCTGGACGTTTAAACGTTTTATGAATCTGTCCTCTTATAGTGACTGATAGATGTGCGTTATTGATAATTCTCACGCTTGTGAACAGTATGGAAGGATGAATGATAGAGACTGAAAAAATAATCTTAAAGCTTTTATATAATGCATTATAAAAGTATTTTAATGCTTTAATTATGCCTTGTAATGCACCTCATAATTAATTCTGTGATCCTATGAATAATCAGTATAATGCATTATAACACTTATCGATTCATAGTTATTTCTTTAGAAGATAAAACACATGACAAGCAACCAATTTCAGATGTGACAAGGAGTCTTTAAATATTATAATACATTTTAACTCTGGTTACAATTATTTATTTAAAGATATAATGCATTACAGTGTGCATCTTGGATATCTTCATAATGCATTAAACATAAGGGCTTTAAGTAAAGTGTTACTGAAACATCCATGGTTTTAGAAGAGGAATTGATTCTTTTAAAGAACACATGATCGCTGTGGTTCTGGAGATCAGGGATAGATGTAGCGTGCAGAAGCCCTGGGTCAGATCATAGCGTGTGTTTCTCTGGATTATATTTGTCTGTGTGTGTGT